AAGGCAATGACACACAGGGCTCATCTATGTAGGAAAGTCAGTTTGAAGTAAGTGAGGGCCTGAATTTATTGCACTAGTCACTTCACAGTAGCTGTCAATGTGGACAGTCCTGATGCATGGTCAATGTGGGTACCTTGCTCCTCTTTGAAATTTGCCTCACACTTGCTATTGGTACACAATGTTGCCAGCTTTGGTCATTTTTCAAGGGGCCTAGGCCAAGCTGCAGAAGTGTGGCTCAGCATAAGGCCACACCATAGTGACCATAATGTGAACGTTTGCAGAGGTGACAACTAGCTTGGTTCGCAAAGTAAAGGAAGTCATCCACATGTCTAAACCAGTAATGAGAGACAATTAAACAAAGCACAAGGCCTGAAAGGAGACATTATAAAGGAAGATCATTAAATCATACATTAAATCATACAAATATACTATATCATAACTTTATTTTAAAATAATAGTAATGATTGAGGTAACCAAATGCATTAGATGCTATTTTGCTACAATAGATATGTTTTCGTTAAGATGCTTAGGTCATTTGTAAAAACAAAACAGCCTTGTCAGAGAAGGGCATAAACTAAGGTAAAGATGAAACTGGACACTGCTGAACAGCATTACACAAAGGGGGGAAAAGAGATAAAAACCCTCCCTTCGATTTTACCAAGGATATAAATCCCAGCTAATTGACACCTTCCAAGTCCACAAGAGATCTGGTTCAGTCCAGTCCCCAAAGTTTCAGTGAAACAAATAAATTTAAATAAAATCAATTGAAGAACATTTATTAGAATATTGAGAATGAGCTACTTATAAATATGGGGTGTAGGCTGGAGGGAAATTTGGAGAACTCAGCAAATTTAAAAAGACCTGCTGCCAATCTACATGCCACTCTCCTCCCCACTTTTGAGTCTCCCCAGTTAGTATACAGGAGAATCCATGTTGTGCTGTTATGGGTAGCCAGATAGATTTGGGGATAAATGTTTCTTTTTGTGTTTTGAGTGCAAGCAAATAAAAGATTGGGCTGTAAACCTGTTTCTGCCTCTTATTAGTAGCCAACTTCCAAGGTTACCTGTAATTTGGGTAACAACTAAGAGGGAGCCCATATGGGGAGTTTATGCAGTAACTTCTTCACATCTTCATTCACATCTTACCATACAAAGCACTGATCTCCTTGTACAAACAAGCCCCTGGGCATGTGCTTAAAGCAGAGTCTATGCATAGTGCTCTTTTGAGCTGGGGAAGTCCTATGCTCCCAACTCAGGCAGAAAACAAGGTAAAGTTGCATGTTGGTTAGTGTGTATGTTCACCTAAATAAGCTTCCAAGAATTAAGCATAAATGTTTGCAGGAGCTGCTAGTAATTTGTAAGTATAACTTGTGCTTAAGATAAAGCATCAGACTTGGCTACTGTGCCATCACAGTTGGAGGCAGGCTCCTTGTAATCTGATTTACCAGCTTGCTATAGGATGGGACCACAAACATGGGAGGAAAAGGAGAGGTAGAAGTGGAGGCAGCATGTCTTGATATGGAAGAGCATCCTTTGGATACTGTTCATAACCCCTGCAGTCCTAATGATTTTTTATTCCCGGCTATCCAGGGTTTTTCCTCTGCTGAGGGAACGTCAATTGGTTCAAGTGCAGTACCATGCAAAAGCAGCTATGCGCCTTCCAGTTTAACTGGTAGCATGGATGGAGCAATGCAGTGTGTTTGCATGTGCTGTGGCTGGGCATCGTAGGTCTGGGATGTGCTCAGTCTGTGTGAACTGACATCTTGACTGCCTGCTTCAGAAGAATGAAGCACTGCTCAAAGGGAGCCATGTAGAAAAATAAAGTTAATTAAGCTGCTTCTATAAAAGCAGCCAGGCAAAAGCTGAGGGATGGGTAGAGAGAATATTTGCTCCATTTTTTTTTGGAGCTCTCTACGGTGATTGGTTTTAAAGGGCAAAAACAAGTTGTTTCCCCAAGACTAATAATAGGCAGTTTCTTTTCTGTTAATAGCATGAAAGCATCAGGGATATAATGCTAACTTGGCTTTGTTTTGCTTGCATCTATTAGTTGAGAAGCTCAGAAATGCCTTCCAATATACACCTAGACTTTGGTGGATGCCCCTGTAAGACATCCATGGCTGCTTAAGTGTGCACAAGTGCAGCTGATTTCTTTGAAAGGGGTTGTGACCTTCCCTGGGCAACCTGCAGTGGTGAGCCCCAAGTCACAAATGCAGATGCTGAGGTAAAAAACTGGAATTTCTTGCTTAATTTTAGTATGCTAAAAGCAAAACTGATGCTTAATAGCTTGAATTTAAAATGAAAACAAGAGTAGGTTCTTGATAGCTAGGACAGGTTTGCCAGGAACCGTATTACACTGGGAGTGTGCTTCAACTGGGGCTTCCATTTTCAAAAGTGAGAGGCTGATTTCTGTTGCATCTGCTCGATGCTAATTTTTAACTAAATATAACCTTTCCACTAAATTAGCTTCTTTTTCACTAACCAGAGATGCACCGTATCTGTGAATATTTCTATAGCTTACAATGCGTTTACTCAGATTCTGAATTTAACCCTTTTTTCTCCAGTGACTGACACATTTCTTGTTTCCCAGATAATCAATTTTTTACTCCTGATTTGTGTCAGCTGCTTTTGGATGGAAATTTGAATTCAGGATACAACTTATGTAGTTCAAATGAAGTACCGTAAGTGTGCTAGAGCCAGAAGAAAAATATATTTCTAAAATGTATTTTGCATTTAAAACAAACTGATTTATAAAACAAAGTAATTACTAACTGTAGTTAGTGAATTCAACTGGCTGGTTCTGCTTGACCATGCTCTTCAAGGTTTTAGAGCTGCCTAGATTCACCCTTGCATGCCTTATTTTTATTGATAAATCAGAAGAAATCTCATTTTCCTGCATTTCTAATGGTTTTGCAGCTTTGAATAGTTTTGGTAACTAAACTAGATGAAAAGCTGAGTGAAGAAACATGCTTTGCACCTGAAAATCAGATTACTGCTCTTCACAAGCACTTCAACTATTTTTTTTTCCTAAGTGCCTAGCCAGTAGCTTCTTCCTGTTCGATGCTAGTTTTTCATTTGGCATCATATACATATTACTTAACTGTACTCAGTGTATTTTAATAGTCTATATTAAATTGAAGCCCTAATACAGGTAGTCACTGTTTCAAATTTAATTTTAAGGGGGTTCACGCTTTACAGAGAAAATCTATTTTATTTTAAAAAAAAATCTATATTTATCCACTTTGCCTGATGTCCACATTGATGTATGGGTGTTAACTTGGATAAAAAAGGTTGTATCTGGTGACTCATTATTTATACTGGGCTGTAAATGTAGATGCGCCATAGCAGAAAGGGTAAGATCTGTGCCTGTGATGCGCTGAATGATCTATTACTGTGTGGTAGCAGGACCTTGCAGGATGAGTTTTCAATGTATACAAAACATAGGTCCAAATTTAGGGCACAGGAGGGTGAGGACACTTACTTGATGAATAGATGAGTGTAGGAAGCATTCATGCAAGTGGGGTGGGACAGATGATGGGAGGCAGTTCCAAATATAGCAGACAGCAAGAGGCATGATGGAAAGCTGAATGACAAAGAGAGGAAGGGGAACAGCAAGGCAAGAGGTTAGGACTGAACACAGAGCAGGGGGAAGAAGAGAAGGAGTCCAGAGGGTATGTGGTTGAAAATTAAGTGTTGCCATGTGAGCATTAATAATATTTTGGTCCATTTTTAGGCTGTTGTGAAACAAGGCTTCCTCTCCTTTGTGGCCATGAGAGATCTGTGTACCCTGACAGATCTGTGCCTAGCCAGACCCATCTTCCATCTCACAAGGCTCAGAAAAAAAGCAGCAGGGACAGGATGGGGGGAAAGCAGCAGGTCCGAAGCCTAAGAAAGATGTTGATAGTTAATCACCATAAAGGGGAAGTTGTGGGAGTGGCTAGGATGCGCCTGCATAAAACCAAACTCTGCCCTACACAGTCTGGTCTTTCCCGTCACATGCTGACTGAGAATGAGCTTCACTGAGTACTGCCGTGCACCAGTCGTGGCCAGCTAAGGGCTACAGGGACCCCCGACTAGAGGAGGAAGGAGCCCATGGAATGCAAGTGAGTGGAGCTCGTGGGCAGATGACTGCCGTGGGTTTGCTGGACTGCTCTGTTCGACTTGCCCTGCCATGTCCACTGCCCAGAACGACAGCTGGGTCTATTCTTTAGGGCTCTGGTTTGTGTAGAGAGGTGGGGCTGAAAGATGTTGTGTGTTAAAATTGGTCAGAAACAAAAGCGGTGTAAGGAAAACTCCCACGGTTTGTGTTTTTTGTTGTTGTTTTTTTTTTTTTTTTAAAGGGGAGCAAAATTGGGCATAAAGGGGATGTGGTGAAAAAAGGGGGGGGGGGGCACACAGTTACAGGGTGAGGGGAAGATGGGCACACAAGGCGGAAGTTTACACCCTTGTGCCCTGTCAATAAGCAGACCCCATCCAATGGCCAATGCAGCATCTCTTCAGCACGGTGAGTGCTGTGGTTTGCACAAGGGAGTTTTTCTCAGGCTTCTCAAGGGGTTAGAGTTGGTGCCGGGCCAGCTCCAGGATGGTACAGGGAGATAAAGTGGGAGGAAAAGCTATTTTTTCGTCACCCTCAGGCTCTGTAGTAAGCAGAGCCTCTGTGCTCTGAGACTCAGGTGCAGTTTATCTGGTGTTCAGAGCAGAAGATTTGGGCTGAGTTCCCACGTCTGCCACTGACCAGTGTCAGGACCTTGGGAAAGTCACTTATGTCTCTGCTTCAACACAGTCTCTACACCACAGTGGGGATTTTAGCATAAGCCATATTTGGGCTTCCACAGCCAGCCTGTGCTATAGAAGTGCTAGCTGCTGTCATCATGCGTCTTTTGTCTTGTGCCTCAAGCTGCACAGAGAGCTTGTTGCACATCTATTAACTCCTTGTTTCCTTACTGTTTTCCTCTTTTCTTTTTCTGGTCCAAGGAGCTCTAAGAGAATGCTGCGCATGCCCAAGGCTGAAGGGATGCTGGCTAGGACCCCATCAAAGAAGTGGGTCTGGCTCGGGCTCTTTGTGTTTCACCAATTTAGTCTCGGTAAGTCAAGAATTTAATGCCTTTCTGTATCGCAGCTGCTCTGACTTCCTGTGGGGACAGCAGGGAAAGCAAGGAGCAGATGCTTGTGGTAGTGGTGCTCCTGCATGCCGTGTGGATGGTTGTCTTCTAGGTGGTTGATCAGCCTGCTGTCACCATCAGTCTAATACTGAGCAGGGTCTCGCTAGACCTGGAGTTCATGCTGTATCTCCTGAGGGCACTGCTGTACTTGATCAACCAAAAGCTGGGCTTCTAATCCTGGCCTAAGCCCTGGACAGAGCCCTTCTTTGCTCCCTCTTTGGGAAGATGCAATTCAGATCCATTTTTGGTTGAAGTAAAATGGGGCAGTGGGTGAGAACTGAGAGTTGGCCACAGCTGGATCAAGCATTGAAGGGCATGTGGGTATACATGAGACTTGTGGTGCTTGGTAAGGAGGCCGGAAACATGTGTCCAGTGCAGCTGCTGCTGTTCATGGAGCCTAACAAAGCCTAACGCCATCCGTGCTGTTGAGGATGGGCAGGGTGTGTGGGGTGCCATGCACAGTTTCCTTCACTGCTCCACAGTCATCTTTCCAGTCCACGAAGCAGCAGCACCGACAGGCTTAGTGTTGCCTGTCCAATGACTGCAAAGGTGGAGGCGGATGTTATTGGGCGGATGGAGGCTCCTTGTTTCAAGATGCAGCAGTGGGAGGAGGTGCTTTTTCCTTTAGGCAGTGTGGAGTCCAGTGTCAGAATGGTATGAAATGTTCACACTGAAAAACTACATGAAACTCTCCTGAGCTTGGATTAGTTTCACATTCAGAATAGGCCATGCTTGTTGCTCGTTTCAGTGTTTTTGTTGTAGTTAATGATAATCTGGAGTGAACAGGGGCCAAATTGAAGTTTTGATGGAAGAATCATGCAAAATGCATAGGTTTTTATGGTGATGTCATGATACTGGGAAATATTTGATCACTTCGACTGAGTTTTTGTTTTAAGATTTTGAGCCTGAAACTCAAAGCGCAACTTGGGGAATTTCATACGGATTGACACACACACAGACCCTTGTAAACTCTTGGGTTCCTTTTCTCTGTTTCCTCCTCCTGCACCATGTGCGCTTGTGACACACGATTCATGCATTATTTGTGAGTTATGTATTTATCTAGGCTATGCTGTAATGCCATGTTGTATAAAACTGTGAACCATATGGACATAATTACTTCTTCATGTATATTGGCAAAGGCCTGAATATTGTATCATTTAGTCAATAATGAACATATATTGTCCAGGAGTAATGTGGAATTTCTCCTCAATATGATACTAACCCCAGGATCCCAGAAAAGCAATATTCAGGTCTGACAACATATGGATAATATTCAGCTGTACAGTCTGATATATCCCAACTGTTCAAGGCTAGAAACAAGAGTTTTACGCCCTTAGCAAGCCCAGGCCTTATCCTTCCCAGTAAAAAAGTTCTTCTTTTCTAGCCCTGGTATATTGCAAAGTTCTGGGTTTTAATGCTTTGAGAGTAAGATTAATAGATAAGCTATTTTAAGGCATGATAATGTGAAGATTCTGGAATATATTTGGTAATTTGGTGAGTGCAATGGAAGAAGCCAGTATATTTAGTATTTTAATATATTATACATCTTAACAAAGCAGCCTGACTCTGAATCTCCACAGATGTAAACTGTATTGTATTATGTTTAGGGAATTGGACTTTAAACTCTGTTCTGTAGAATAAACCCTGCCAAACAGTATCACCCATTCATTTATTGCCCTATGAGCTGAATAAAATGCTACAAGTGGTCACGGGTAGCTGAATCCATTGTGCCTCATCTCTTCCATCTGCAGAGCAAGATTTTTTTTCTTTTTCCCCCCTTTTTTTCCCCTCCTTTTTTTTGTATCCACTATGACTATAGTTTATAGTTAGAGTCCCAGCTGTTGCCTCTATTATACTGCTGACTACCCCTTAGTGACTGCAGCAATAAGGTGGCATCAAGGCTTTTGTTATATCACCATTTTCCCGAGTATACAGAATGCTTCTCTTTGTGGCCGAAATTTTCCATTGTTGGTTCCCAGTTCTTAGTTTCAGGCAATCTGTGCACAGCCCAGGAAGGGATACCAACGTCGCATCAAACTAGCTTTCAGTGCAGGTTCAAGCGTAACAAAGCACTCCACATAGCTCATGTCTACATTGCAATTGAGAGTTTTGAATGCAGTAATTGTGCCCAAGCCTCAACTAGTTTTAACCTTGAGCTGTCAATGGCAGTGAGGATGTAGCAGCGTGGCTGGGTAGCAG